CTCATGAAAGAAATTGAGGAAGACACAAAGAAATGGAAAAATGTTCCATGCTCCTGGATTGGAAGAACAAATATTGTGAAAATGGCTATTCTACCTAAAGCAATCTACACATTTAATGTAATCCCTATCAAAATACCATACATTTTTTTTCAAAGAAATAGAACAAACAATCCTAAAATTTATATGGAACCAGAAAAGACCCGAATAGCCAAAGGAATATTGAAAAAGAAAGCCAAAGTTGGTGGCATCACAATTCCAGACTTCAAGCTCTATTACAAAGCTGTCATCATCAAGACAGTATGGTACTGGCACAAAAACAGACACATAGATCAATGGAACAGAATAGAGAGCCCAGAAATAGACCCTCAACTCTATGGTCAACTAATCTTCGACAAAGCAGGAAGGAATGTCCAATGGAAAAAAGACAGCCTCTTCAACAAATGGTGTTGGGAAAATTGGACAGCCACATGCAGAAAAATGAAAGTGGACCATTTCTTTACACCACACACGAGAATAGACTCAAAATGGATGAAGGACCTCAATGTGAGAAAGGAATCCATAAAAATCCTTGAGGAGAGGGGCGCCTGGGTGGCTCAGTGGGTTAAAGCCTCTGCCTTTGGCTCAGGTCATGATCCCAGGATTCTGGGATTGAGCCCCATATCAGGCTCTCAGCTCAGCGGGGAGCCTGCTTCCCTTCCTCTCTCCCTGCCTGCCTCTTTGCCTACTTGTGATCTCTCTCTCTGTCAAATAAATAAATTAAATCTTAAAAAAAAAAATCCTTGAGGAGAACACAGGCAGCAACCTCTCTGACCTCAACAGCAGCAACTTCTTCCTAGGAACATCGCCAAAGACAACAGAAGCAAGGGCAAAAATGAACTATTGGGATTTCATCAAGATCAAAAGGTTTTTTACAGCAAAGGAAACAGTTAACAAAAGCAAAAGACAACTGACAGAATGGGAGAAGATATTTGCAAATGACATATCAAATAAAGGCCTAGTATCCAAAATCTATAAAGAACTTATCAAACTCAAGACCCAAAGAACAAATAATCCAATCAAGAAATGGGCAGAGGACATGAACAGACATTTCTGCAAAGAAGACATCCAGATGGCCAACAGACATATGAAAAAATGCTCCACATCACTCGGCATCAGGGAAATACAAATCAAAACCACAATGAGATACCACCTCACACCAGTCAGAATGGCTAAAATTAACAAGTCAAGAAATGACAGATGCTGGCAAGGATGCGGAGAGAGGGGAATCCTCTGACACTGTTGGTGGGAATGCAAGCTGGTGCAACCACTCTGGAAAACAGTGTGGAGGATCCTCAAAAAACTGAAAATAGAGCTACCCTATGACCCAGTGATTGCACTACTGGGTATATATCCTAAGGATACAAACGTGGTGCTCCGAAGGGGCGCGTACACCCAAATGTTTATAGCAGCAATGTCTACAATAGCCAAACTATGGAAAGAACCTAGATGTCCATCAACAGATGAATGGATAAAGAAGATGTCATATATATACACAATGGAATACTATGCAGCCATCAAAAGAAATGAAATCTTGCCATTTGTGATGACGTGGATGGAACTAGAGGGTATTATGCTTAGCAAAATAAGTCAATCAGAGAAAGACACTATCATATGATCTCCCTGATATGAGGAAGTGGAGATGCAATGTGGGAGGGTTGGGGGGTAGGAAAAGAAAAAATGAAAGAAGATGGAATTGGGAGGGAGACAAACCATAAGTGACTCTTAATCTCACAAAACAAACTGAGGGTAGCTGGGGGGAGGGGGGACAGGAGAGGGTGGTGGGGATATGGACATTGGGGAGGGTATGTGCTATGATGAGTGCTGTGAAATGTGTAAACCTGGCGATTCACAGACCTGTACCCCTGGGGATAAAAATACATCATATGTTGTTTTAAAAAATAAATTAATTAATTAAAAAATTTTTTAAAAAATGTGGTAGATCTGACTTTTTCTTGCCTGCATATCCGTTTATCTCTCTTTCATTTCACTAATCTTTCATTTATTCTCTGTGGAGCACTACATAATCTGCTATTAAAAGCATCCATTTATTTTTTAAATTTCAAGTAAAAATTTGAAGGAAAAGTTAAGTAATTAAATGATATCTAAGGCATTAACTGGACAGGCACAATGCATATGATAGAAATCCTTTCCTCTAACCAGGGTTACATTCCCCTTACATGTGATAGATTGTATCAGTGCTCTCAATTATGCACTCTCTTTTTAAGAAGATTAGATTACCACCCTGTTGACATGGGCTTGGCGATATGACTTGCTTTGTTCAATGGAGTGTGAGCAGAAGAAATACTTATCATCTACTGATAGACACTGTAAGAGCTATCAAGTGATCCCACTAATGAACTTGTGCTTACCAGAGTAACGTGCCCTAGAAGGATTTGATCCTTCAGCCTGAATCTAAGAAGTAGAAATAACATGAAGCATAGACAGGGCTAAATTGCAATGCTAGTGAGAAATGAACTTTTATACTTGCATACCACTAAGATGGGGTGGTTGTGTATTACTGTGGGATAATCTAATAAATGCTAACCTCACACTCTCTTTTTTTCTTCCAGAGGAGTCTTCTCATTAACTTCAAATTTTTTTCTCTCTTCTGGTTCTCTTAATAAAGTATAGTAATATTAAAAAGTACAATTTTAAATTATCTTTTAGAAAATAGTTCCTTTTGTTCTCTTTTATTTTTTTAAAAGATTTTATTTATGTATCTGACAGATAGAGAGAGGGGGAAGCAGGCTCCCTGCTGAGTAGAGAGCCCCCGATGCAGGACTCAATCCCAGGGCCCTGAGATCATGACCTGAGCCTAAGGCAGAGGTTTAACCCACTGAAGCCACCCAGGCGCCCCCTTTTGTTCTCTTTTTAAAAAGCAGAGGACATTTGGGTAAGGGAGGGAAAACTGGATGGGAAGAAATCAGAAAGGGAGACAATGAGAGACTCTGGACTCCAAGAAACAAACTGAGGACTACAAAAAGGAGGGGGGTAGGGAGATGGGGTAACAGTTGATGGGCATTAAGGAGGGCACATGTTGTGATAAGCACTGGGTGTTAAACAAAATAATGAATCACTGAACACTACATCAAAAACTAATGATATACTGGTTGTTGGCTAATTGAACATAATAAAAGTATTTTTAACATACAGATAAATATTACAAATGTTTCATTCTGCCATTTCCAAAGATAAAATGATCAGTAAGAAATTTTAACAATCTTCCTACATATTTATCAAATATCATCATTACTCTTCTCCCTTCTTTCCTCCTTCCCTCCCTTCAGTACTTAACTGGATAACATAGTATGTATCAGGCACTATGCTTGAAGATGTGGATTCACTGGTGAAGAAAATATGGCCATGGCCTATGCCTGCCCTCATAGATCTCATTTTTTGAGGGAATGAACAAAAGTCAAATATTCACACAAACAAAATTCCAAATACGGCAAGAGAAATGGAGAAAAGTAGGTGTGCCAGACACACACATAATAGACAAATTGGATTTAACTGGACAGTCAATGAAAAGCTTCTCAGAACTGACTCTTAAACTGTCTTAAGGATAAATGTTGGGAAGAAGGAACAGGAAAAATACCATAGGAAAAGGAAATAGCATAAAAATGCCACATGGGGGGTGCCTGGGTGGCTCAGTCTTTAAGCCTCTACTTTCAGTTCAGGTCATGATCCCAGAGTCCTGGAATGGAGATCCACCTTGGGCTCCCTCTCAGTGGGAAGCCTGCTTCTCCCTTTCACACTCCCTCTCTTGCTGTCTCTCTCTCTGTCAAATAAATAATTAAAATCTTTTTAAAAATGCCATGTAGGCTGGGGAAAATACGGCAAATAAGAGAAGATCAAGTAGGGCCATTGTATTTGAACTACATAATAAGGGTAAAGCATGTGTGATATGAGACTGCACAGGCAGATATGTCCACCTATTCAGAGACATAGTAGGAGAGGTTAAGGAGGCATTTTTGTCCCTTCATTCCTGTTAATATTAATGCAGGTATGAAGAGAAATGGATCACCCTTATGGGAAGGAAGGAAGAAAGGAAGGGAAGGAAGGAAAAGCAAAGCAAAGCAAAGCGGGGGGGAGGGGAGAAGGAAGAAAGGAAAGAGAGGAAGGGAGGGAGGAAGAAAGGAAAAGAAAGGGAGGGAAGGAAGGAGGATAGGAGAAAAAAGAATGTACCTACCACAGTGTAGATAATGGGCTAGAAAGAGAGCAGAATGACTGCAGTAAACTAGCTTTGGAAGTCACTGTAAATTCACACAAGACATGATGATAGCTTGTACCAGAGTGCTGGTGGAGTAGTGAGACAGATAAAAACGTATTTAGCATGTGGAACATTCGTTCTTATCATGTTGAATATGAGGACTGAAATAGAAAAAGGAAGCAAGAAAACCATAGGTTTCTGAGCTAAGAAAACTAGTAGTGGCTAAAAAGAATTGAGGGTTGACAAGGACAGCAGAAGCTTAATTAAACATATTTTAATTTTAAAGTGTCTTTGAGTATAAGAGGATATGTCAAAAGGAGGTGATAGGAGTGAGCATAAAACTCATTATTAGATCATTTTTTCACCATTTTGGTAACGTCTAAAGGGATTCAGAGTGATTTAAAGAGCAACACTAAGCAACATCTAGGGGCACCTGGGTAGTTCAGTTGGTTAAGCCTCTGACTCTTGATTTCAGCTCAGGTCATGATCTCAGGGTTGTGAGATTAAGCCCCGTGTCAGGTTCTGCCCTGGGAGTGGAGCCTACTTAAGATTCCCTCTCTCCCTCTCACTCTGCTTCGCCACTCCAATGCAAAAAAAAAAAAAAAAAAGCTAATAGAAGTAAACAAAATTTAAGCTAATGATAATCACAAAAACTACCATACCATCCCAGAAGAACAAAAATGAAGAGATGTATTATACTTAACATATTGGATATGTTATATCAAAATGAAAATTATATTTGCATAATTACCTTTCATTGATTAAACCGGCCACTGTTTCAATATCAATTTCAAGTTTTTTGTTTTCTTCTGTCAATTGAGCATTTGCGATTGAAATATCTGAAAAGTCTTTTGCAATATTAGAAAGCTCAATATCCCATGATTTTTTCTTGAAGAAAAGAATAAAAGAATCATTTATATATGTCTTGTATATCAGAAAGAAAAACATGTGTAATGATGAAATTACTTTTACTTGCATGAGTTAGTATTTAGGAATAGAGAATAGAACTCTAGGCAGAAGGAGGGAAAGGTCAACTTACTGCGGCATAATAATCATTAAGTACACTCAGATACTCCTTTTCAAAACTTTTTTTCTTCCAGGATAGTTGATCATAATTTTTTTTTAAATCATCGACCTAAGAAAAAATATAGAGGGAAAAATAAATGAATTATGAGCCTTCCCATTCTTTTTTAAAGTAAGAAATATTTCAAATTATCTACTTATCGTAACTTAATAAATGTTGATTAAAATAGTATGACACCATAGGTTGTTGCCATTTGTAAAAATTGATGCAAGATTCTGAATAGAATATAGCAAATCAAGTCTAACAGTGCTCAGTTAAACAGAATAAAATAGAATGTATTTTAGTTATATTGTAAGAATTTATAAAAATTAGAAAATTTAAATCATAGTTCATCACATTAAAAAATTAAAAGAAAAAATAACACGAATATGGTCAACACTCTAGAGAACAACTATGTGATAAATTCACTATCTAGTTTGAATAATTTTTAAGCTAGTACAAGGAAAAACTATGCAAATACAATACAGAGAAGAAAAAATATCAAACCATAAAATGCTAAATGCATGCCCACTGAACTCAATAATGAGACTAGATTATCTCTTATCACCATTATTATTAATCATGTTTTGGAAAATTTAACTAAATGCAATTGGATAATAAAACCAAAAGTTATTATAATGTTGAATATGAATAGACAATACACCCTCAACTTTAGATGATACAGTTGAACACTTTGAAAAACCAGAAGATTTTATTTTAAACTACAATGTATGAGTTTGGTAAAATGAGCATAAGGAAATTAATAGCTTTTAACCATAACAGTAATAATCTGTTTAAAAACATAGTGACAATACTTAAAAACTTTGGCCAAAAAATAAAAAATATCTGGGAATAATTAAACATAAAAGGGAAGACCTATATAAAGCAAACACAAATTCTGTTTTAAAAGCTTAAATCAAGACCCACATGAAAAGAGTGATAAGCCATGCAAAGGTTTATTAGAATACACTGTCAGTTATCCTACAATTATGGTTGCTTAACTTTTCAATATACTAAAAACCACTGAACTGTACAATTTTAGAAAGAAACAACATAGTTAAGAGGCAACAGATCCAAAAATTAATGACAAAGGAAATAATAAGACATAGTTTCTCAAATCATTTCAGAACCCTCTTTATTATTTTACTCATATTACATATCATACTATCTGTATTACTATTCATTTAATAATTTTCTTAAGACAAGTCACATGTTTATTTAAACAATCATTTAAAAAAGGAAACTACTATTATTGGAAGTTAAAAATCCAATATCATATGCCATAAAGGGAAACAACTTTAAAAATAAATAAAAATAATTTATTAAATAATCTAAAAATAAAATACTAGTATTAAATTCTTCAACTTACTAAGAAAATACTAAATATATTTTTCTTAGCATTATGATCAGTAATTAAAGAAATATTTGGATTGGTGTTGTATTTTGAAGATGGGCATTTCTTTTTTTTTTTTTTTTTAAGATTTTATTTATTTATTTGACAGAGAGAGATCACAAGTAGACAGAGAGGCAGGCAGAGAGAGAGAGAGAGAGGGAAGCAGGCTCCGTGCCGAGCAGAGAGCCTGATGCGGGACTCGATCCCAGGACCCTGAGATCATGACCCGAGCCGAAGGCAGCGGCTTAACCCACTGAGCCACCCAGGCGCCCCGAAGATGGGCATTTCAATGAATTACAAATTTACTTGTATATTTAATAAGTTTGCCATCTAACTGAACGCTATATTTCTAACCCAAATAAAAATAAGTATTTTATAATTTTTAGTTTCAAGAAGCCTTTGAAATATCTTCCAGAATTGTTCTTTGGAAACTGTCCAATTACTAAGTGATGTACAAGCTTTCTTACCCACTCATTAATACCATTGTTGGGAAATAATCAAGATAAAACTATCAGTCAAGCATTTTTAGATAGTGCAACATATTTTGAGTGTATTCCTTAAAGTTGTAACCAAATTACTCAGACTATGAGACATTTCCTCCTTGACATAATTAAAAGGTTTATTCTATGGCTTTAATTTTGCTGGATTTTTTTCTTTAATGTGTTTCACCTATTAGAATTCTATTAGGACATTTTAAGTTTTGAATGAGAAAATACCTTTATGAATGTTCTAATTTTTAATGTAGTTCTCAGCCATAAAGTAATCCAGAAGCCTGAATTTTTCACCAAGGAATACTTGAAGCTCTTTTTATAAATTAATATGAAGTGAGTTTCTTAAAAAGCACATATTAAAGAATAAGGGTTGAACATTCATTTACAAATCTGAGAGCACATATGAGTATTTGGTGGTTTTAACTAATTTGATTAATAATTTTAAAAGTTCAATTTCATTTTTGCAATGGCTTGAATATGACTATTCAAGAGTATAATAGTGGGTGGATTTGCCTTTCTTGACAATTTTTTGAATATAAGTAACTAGTTATTTTCTTTCATCTGCCTATGGCATTAGCATCATATGTGCTTAATCAAAAACATGGATTTCAGGACTTACTGCTGTTTCTCAAGAAGTCAAGAAGTCATCAATACATTTGTATTTTCTTTATCTGTACACAGTAGCAAAGAATTCACTATGCATAAATTCATCATTTTGCAGTGAATGATAACAATTTTATACTAGAAATAATTACTTCTTTACATATTTGGTTATCTCTATAAGTAAAAGACAAATTGTTATTTGACATAGGCATTTAATGAATCATTTTTTTATATCCTTGAAACTCCCAGTCACCTGGTAGCAGGCTTGATAAACATCTTACTAACTGCTTCAGCAGATCTGGACTCTGAAGTTAATTGTAATGCTAAAAACATAATTCTAAAGTCTCAGCATTTTCATTCTGTGTCACTCTGTACATACACTTGAGCATCCGTCTATTCTAACATTTTGATAGGCTCCCTATTTTTTGTGCTTCAACATGACAATCGTGGATTATTTAATAATTATGACCATTGTGACTAATCTTAGAATACATAATAAAGTAGATTTTTCTTCACCAGTTCATAAAATCCAAAAACCTAATAAAAATCAAATTCTTTCCACACTAATTTTTCTTTGCTGCTTGTAAACATTAGTAAAGGACTTTTAGGAAATGTTTTAATTTGGTTTTCATACCTATCTAAAGACATGTAACTGATTCTATTACATTCTTCACTAGTATCTTTATTTCTACACTTAAACATCCTTTTTTTTTTTTTTTTTTTTTTTTTTAGAGAAAAAGCAAGAGAGAGAACATGCATCCCTGAGCGGGGGAGACGGGCAAAGGGAGAGGGAAAGAGAGAGACTCTTAAGCAGGCTCCATGCACAGAGTAGATCTCAGAGTGATCTCAGGACTCTGAGATCAGGACTTGAGCCAAAATCAAGTTGTGGAGGCTTGACCGAATGAGCCACTCAGGTGTCCCAAACATCTGTGTTTTCAACCATTTATCTAGGACTAAATAAATGTACAGAAGTAAAAAAATCATAAATATCTCCCAAACCAGTTTCTAATGTGCTTTCCAGATCAGATGTGGTAGCTCTGATGCCTAAAATTATACATATTTCATATGCCAAACAATCATAAATCTTTTAGAAGTAGATTTTCCAGGGCATTAAAGTGAAAATTCAGTGCCTTAAGGTCAATATTAATGATCTGTATTACCATGCCACTGATAGGTGTTTGTCAGCAGGCTCAGGAAGTGAAATTATGAAATGCTTATGAGCACACCTTAACTACTACAGTATAATTCTTACATCCTGCAATTTTTGAATAAGTACTATTATTTTACCCCTGCCCTAAGCAATAAAGTCCCTGGAATCACACATGGAATCATTGTGTGCTAATTGCTTTCTTAATATAAATGATAATATACACATAACTTTGAAAATGCTCATCACTGGAATATCTAAAATTATATGGTATGTCATGAATAGTAATCTTTGCAAGTAAAAGAAGAGGAAATGTGAATGGCTAATTAAAAGAAAATAAAAATGAATTTACTTCACTCCCAGGCAGGAAATGAAAATTAATCCAATACTGCTTTACCCAACAATTAAGTTGCTTTGATTTTAAAACACCTACGTGTTGGGAAAAATGAGAAATCAAACATTTATATTGCTCACATACACATACATATGCACAATTTACATACCAAATTTTCAGAATGTATTTCAATAATATCTATCTTGAAAAATACACTTAGTTTTGTCTGACACAACAATCCAAATTTTGAGAATTTGGCACATACAAGGAACCAGCACATAAAAACAGTATACATAAAGTTATTAATATTTAATATTATTAGTAGTGGCTAATAACTGTTTCATTCTGAATTTATTTGAAAGGTAAATAATTGAGTAAGGTGTAGTTGTTATTTTTTATTATGTTAAGTCACCATACTAAACATCTATCGTTAGTTTTTGATGTAGTGTTCCATGATTCATTGTTTGTGTAACACCCAATGCTCTATGCAATCCATGCCCTCCTTAATACCCATCACCGGGTTAACTCATCTCCCCACCGACATCCCCTCTAAAACCCTTAGTTTGTTTCCTGGAGTCCATAGCATCTCCTGGTTCATCTCCCCCTCCGATTTCCCCCCCTTCATTTTTCCCTTCCTTCTCCTAATGTCCTCTATGCTATTCCTTATGTTCCACAAATAGGTGAAACCATATGATAAGTGACTTCTCTGCTTGACTTATTTCACTTAGCGTTATCTCCTCCAGTCCCATCCATGTTGATGCAAAAGTTGGGGATTCATCCTCTCTGATGGTTGAGTAATATTCCATTGTATATGTGGACCACATCTCCTTTACCCATTCATCTGTTGAAGGGCATCTCGGCTCTTTCCACAGTTTGGCCATTGTGGACATTGCTGCTATGAACATTGGGATACAGATGACGCTTCTTTTCACTACATCTGTATCTTTGGGGTAAATACCTGGTAGTGAAACTGCTGGATCATAGGGTAACTCTCTTTTTAAATTTTTTGAGGAACTTCCACACTGTTTTCCAAAGTGGCTGTACCAACTTGCATTCCCACCAACAGTGTAAGAGGGTTCCCCTTTCTCCACAGCCTCTCCAACA